AATGTCCTTATCGATCCTTCGTTCTGCTTAGCCCTGATTGTTAAGTTCAGAGACATCAATCTCAGCCTCTATGATATGATATAACAATTACTATCACCAGTTTCAACCCTAGAGATATGAAACATAAAATGATTTCAAAGCACAAATTACATTTTCAAGCTTTAAGTGTGATTAAGACAAGATTCAACAATGTAAACAAGTAATATTGTAGTGTCGGTTACTATGTTAAGCCCATTTAACTTATTCTAGCTCCATTCTTCATCAGTCACGTTTTGACCTGGTTAATTATTCACTTATCAACCCTAACTGTTTTTATATAAGCGTAATTGTGTGTACACTTCTCATCCTATTCATCACATGTCTGTGGCTTATGAATACTGATTAACGCTTGATTAAATAGTTTGCTCACATGCCTTCTCTACTACACGTCGTTTTGCTTCTGTGAGGACGGTCCACGGGTGAACTCGAGGAAGTTCTAAGAAGCTCGGAAAGAGTCGAAGAGGTGAGCGTCATTTCATTTCGCTCTCTTCTATTCGCTTCATCCTTCTCATTTCCTGTCCAGATCAGTATGTGTACAAATTGTACGTATTCAAAAATGCATTCTCGTATTTGACTTATTTAATGCCGTTATACATTTGAGCGGATTAAATTGATAATTATATACGAGAATAGTCAAGATGTATATTTTGACAGTAATCATTCATACAATCCAATTGCAGTCAGATCCCGTGCCACTAAAATGATGAGCCCGTCAATAACATCGTTCAACCTTATAGAAGTCACAATGAATGGGCTCCACTAAAATATTATCAAAACACTAAAACGTCGCCTTAACTCCTATTCATTTTCTTATATAAATTGAAACATATGGTAAACTAAAACAATATTGAACAAATGGCATATAAAATCAGTAAGATAAAACAGTAGAAAAACAAGCCAACAAACAAAAACAAAACAAGAAACGTATCGGTAGAAAAGATCCAACCAAATAAAGAAATAAGAAAGAATTGATAAGTAGCTTCTTGTATAGACAAATCAATAATGGAATATGGTTATCCCTTCTAAGAACATAAATAAATGGAAAGTTCATGGTATAGTGAGACATCACCTTACCATCTAATGAGATGATTCAAATAGCCTTTAATTGAAACAAAAGATGTATGACTCAACAAAGGCCATTATCAAGGGAAGAACAAGGTTCATACTTCATCGAAGACCTAAAAGACATGAAAATGATTGCATCAGATCCCACTGCCTTTACCAATTTAAATGTGTAAGTGGGGTCACACGTACATAGAAAGAAGTAATCACGATCTCCAAACTAGGATGTGTGAACATATACAAAAAAGGTTGTAGAAACAAATAACCCAATAACATTATCTTTTATTGCTAAACACATAATTGAAACAGGTCATAAGATTGATCTTAACTCGGCTTTTGTGATGTTATACAAAAGTGTAAAATGGTGTCTACTTAGTTTCATTGTTGAGTTCATAAGCTGAGTTCAAGCTAGACCACCATAAAAAAACATGGAAGCACTGGACGGCCGTTTCGTCCTAGTATGGGACTCCTCAGCCGTGCTCAAACCCAGAACCTATACTAAGGTTTACTGAAGCCTTAGCCATACAAAAATTCAAACCCCTTTGTATGCATTCAACAACAGTTTGTTCTCGCCTTAAACTTACCCTGGTAATATTAACTTATTATCCAAAGTGATGAGGTATCAAATTGTTTTCACATTACTGTCTTCATTACTTTTGTTTCCTCTTAGCTTCAAATAGACTAGTTGACCTATTTTTATATATAAATGTTCTTAACAAGTCTGTGTGTGATCAGATTGTTCGAAATGTATTTTGCTAATACATCATCACATACTTCCTATTACAGTATCGAAATTAATCAAAAGGGCTAATTGCCTTAAAGAAATAACAATCATTTTAGAATGAAACTGTAAAAAAGCTTAGAACATACCTAGACTACTTATAATTTACAAATAGTATGATATAAAATTAAAAAAGGCAATCATAAGTGAGGTGAAAAAAGATCAACATATACATCTATGTAATAAATACTGTAGCTCAGTGGTCTAAAGGTTAGGCACTCGAGCGCAAGGCCAAAGATCCTGTGTTCGGATCTCACGAACGGGATCTTGGATACACACTGTTGAGGAGTCCCATACTAGAACGAAATGGCCATCTAGTCTTAATACTATGTAAAATGTATTCTGCTTTAAACGTTAAACATTCCATTTGAAAGACGGAGACACAGATAATATACAGTTCAAAAATACTTATCTATTTATTGCTGAAAATTAGGTTGTCAATTCACTTAATCATAATCTACATGGATTCACTTCAAATATTTGACAATGAAGGAAGTGAATACGTCAGTTTTTATTACATTTAATGGTTTTAAATTACAAAACACATTTACCAGTTAGTTCTCTATGAACATGGCAGAACTTGTCACATATGTTTATTACTTATATGTTATTACATTTAAGCCAATAAATGATGGTCTATAAAATGAAACTAAAGGGTGTCTTTATAGGCAAAGATGGATAGTGGTTAGCAGTGGAATCCAGGACTCATCTTTCGTCCTATTCGGAATTCGTCAGTTGGATATATCTGGATCTGAGAGTTGATAATCACTCCGAACCTCGAACTCACTACCGCTCGCTCTAAACACCATCTTGTCATCCACTTAGCTACTGAATACTGATAGTCAACTGCTTTTGCAATCGAGTGATGTTTAAATCCACTTCGTATTATTTGCTTGTACACTCCCATTGTGGGTAAGGTCTGTTATCGATCAGTATATTGTTTGTATATGTAAATTCTGTTTGGAGTGGTTAGATATTGTATTCATTAACAACAATGAGAAGATATAAACAAATTGTACCACAGGAATTTAAATGGTGTATTCCAAAAGTAGGAATGTTACTAGTTTTCAACTATTCTACCCCCCTCCCTCCACCCGCACGTATATTAAAAAACAAAATGTATATTTTAAATAGTTTTAACTTTCCACCTGGCAACCTTTAGAAAGTTTCGTTTATGGATTCAATTATCTCTATATTGTGTTCACAATTTATATATAACTATTACCTCTAATTGTTTTAAATCTTTTCAATGTTTTCTCTAAAAAAATTCTCTACTGGATGAAATACCTTTTGAATAATAAAAAAAGAGCTATACAATCCTATATGTGTATATACGATGATAGTGAACACTTTGCTGAATGATTGTGTTGTACAATGAAATACCATTGTTACTATGATTCATTGGTCACTGGGTGGTGATCAATGTCATGTGTCTCAGGTTTTTCTTGATGCAGATGAAATTCTATTGACCAATTTGTAATATGGCCATTAGTCTAGGTGAATCGACATTACGTGCACGATGTTGAGATAAGATGGTAGTTGAAGGTAGTCAACAGAAAACACTCCTCCATCTTACCATTGTTACTGTAATAAGATGAAAGAAACTTTGCAATCTACTTACATGTAACATTAGAAACTACTTTATAGAAATAATTCTATATTCAGTTCACTTGGTATTGTTTATTTGTATGTTTCCAATGTTGTTTAGGAGTGCAATTGATCAATCTCTTATTGGCATATGTGCATACTGTTCGGAGAGCCTCGATATTGCCTTAAGTCATAAGCTTTATAAACAAAGATGGGTGGTGGCTATGAATGGATTGAACATCAACTCTGTGATGCAAGTACATCCAGCAGTTCGGTCTCAAATAAAACGAAACACTTATCCTAGATTCCATTGCTCGCCACTAATGATCTTTGCCTATAATTCTATATTTATATGTTATACTTTAAAAAAACCGGTAAACTTCATCATCTTCTTGTATCATTACTTTGAACTGATAACATTTAAAACTGATGGGCATTTATTAAAAAGAAGATTCTACATGTAAAATGCTAAGCTCAATTGGTAATAATGGAATCAAGAATAAATCGGTTGTATTTTAATTTATTACTGACATATTACTATTATAATATTGAGGATATTTATTCAACGTAAGCGGATAAATTATATCCAGCTGATGAACCCTAAATAGGACGAAACCCGTGTCCTGAATTCTACTATTAGCTACTATCTATCGGTAAATATTAGTTCCGTGAATAAATATGAAGAAGGAATAATCAATAAATTTAGGTAATTAATTACGTTTAATTACCTATAATTATTGTAACAATAAAATTTTAATCATCTAATTACATTTACATTATAATTTGTTATTAACTTATTAGATCTTTTGCCATTATTCACAATACGCAATCTAGTATTATTCCATCATCTTGGTTACTCGTTTTTCGCATCTCTCAAGAACGGGATCGTGGATGCGTACTACCACTGAGGAGTCATGTAGTGGGACGAAACGGCTGTCCAATGTTTCCAGGTTTTCTATGATGGTCTAGCTCTAATTGATTCATGAATTCAACTAAACGAATTACTTAACTGACTTAATACAATAATTTTATGTTTTTTTCTTTTTTTACATCATCTATGTCCATTGATGATAAGTCTATGGTAGTTCAAAAGACAAATCAATGCCATATATTATAATGATGTGACATGTCTACATGATTTCTGATCTTCATATATGGATTATCTAGGAAGTAATTTAGTCAGAGAGGGTTTTTATGGATATTATAGTAATTTAATAGTTAAATTAATGAGTCAATTGAAGCTAGACAACCATGGAAAACCTGAAAGTACTGGACTGTTGTTTTGTTCTATTATTGGACTCCTTCGTAACAGTGTGCATCCACGATCCCGCCTCGCGAGATTCAAACTCAGAACATATAGATCTCACACGCGAACGCTTAACGTCTAGACCACTGAACCGGTATCCAACGGCGTTAATATCTAACTTTAAATAATTCACTAAACTAAGTGACATATCCATTATTATCTTCGGTAGTTTATATCTATCTATCTATCATTATTGTTCTATAAATTAATATAAATTCAACTTACCAATTGACTAATTTGTATTAATGTAAATTGAAATCCAACTTGTACACTTTTAGATGCATTAAATATTGGTCTAGATGCTGTATCATAACCATTTAATATTTTTGATAATAATCTTTGTTCATCTGTCATTATAGATGGAATTAATGTAGTTGATATATCAGTTTCATATAGATTACTTTCTATATTAGTATTATTCCTATAATTTTTAGCTTCTTCATATTCACTTCCATTGAATGATGTTATATCAACATTCATATTAATTCTTTCATCATATACTATAGTGTTAATAAGTATTAAATAATTGATAAGTATATTAAATAAGTAATATATCCATTTCATTGTTTATGATTAAGTTGATCTTGATCTGAAAAAATGTTTTTTTTTTACTTCTTTGTAACTGATCCGAATTTCTTAAAAAAATTAGTTGCTATGGCTACATCTACATATATGCATATGTGTATGTATTAAAAGACCAGTTTAATGAAATATGGTAAAAGTTGAAAGTGATTTTATGAAATAAGGAATTATCTGATTGGTTGATAGTATTTAACCAATAGGATTTCAGATATTATTATTATTATTATTATTATTATTATTGACTTTAATATAAACATTTTAATGGTTCTGTCAATTTTGAAACGGAAAAAGTCCACGAAGGAAACTATGATCAATGGATTGTTTTTCTTCTCTGTTCATTGTAATCGTATAATGTATTGTCTTAATGGTACTTAGATTTGATTTTCAATATGGAAATGTATCGTTGATATTGACTGTTTGTGGTTGAAAATTGAAATTTTCCTTTTTTTTATAGAACTGATTCGTAAACAAAACTGTTAGGTTTTTATCAGATTACTAGTCATATGTTGTGTGACAAGATTCAGTAGACGCCCAGTTTTGAGATCAACAAGTTGGATTTTGTAAGGATTGGTTGTGCACAAACCGAATTGCGACATTACGGATCATCGTTAAACAATCAATGGAATGGAACTCGTCAGTATATTCATCAATTTCGTTGATAATGAGAACATTTTTGATTTTGTGGATAAGAGAACGTTATGGAACCCTCATCGACACTATTGTATACGTGAAAAGATAGTCAATATCATCCGATATTCATACGATGGACTACAGTGCAAAGTGATACAAGAAGGACAGCTGACAGATGCATTCCAAGTAAGGACCAGAGTCAAACAAGCTTGCTTACTTTATCTCTTTCTCCTTTCTCCTGGTGGTCTATTGGATTATGAAGACCTCTACATCTGAAACGAAACACGGAATACAATAGATAGCTCGGAATGAAATAGAACATTTGGGCTTCACAGATGACCTAGCACATCTATCACATACACACAAACAAATACAGCTAACAAAATAAGTGTAGCAACAGTCTCTTCATTGCTAGGCCTCAATATACACCAAGGAAAAACCAAGACCCTCAAATACAACACGGAGAATACCAACACAATCACATTTGATGGAGAAACTCTGGAACAGGTATAGTTTCACTTATTTGGGTAACATCATCAATCAACAAGGATAATCTGATTTAGACGTAAAGGTAAAGATAAAAAAATTGAGGGCCACTTTCCTACAAATGAAGAACATATGGAACTCAAAAAAACAAGGTCAAAATCTTCTATACGAACGTCAAAACAGCCTTACTGTATGGAGCTCAAAGTTGGAGAACTATTACAACCATCAGCAAAGAAGTACAAGAATTTATAAGCAGTTGTCTACACAAATTCTCAATTTCCGTTGACCGGATACCATCAGCAACAGTCTAATATGGGAGAGAACAAACCAGCTCCTATCTGAAGAGGAAATTAGTAAAAGACGTTAGAAGTCGATATGACATACACTGAACAAATCATTAAACTGCATTACGAAGCAAGCACTAACCTGGAATCGTGAAAGGAAACGGAAAAGAAGAAGACCAAAAGACACACTGTGCCGAGAATCGGAGTCAGATATGAAAGTGATGAATAGCAACTGAAAAAAAGAATTGATTGCTCAGTATAGGGTTTTTTGGAGAATGCTGGTGGGTAGCCTATGATAATCTATGTAAATAACATTCACAGATTCACATTAATTACAACTCAACTTGACAGCTTGTTTGAATATCTAGGATACCTGATTCTACCATGTTATAACTTGTACCTTATGTCCTATTAATATATAAGGTAATGATATTACCATTTGGAGAACAGTGAATTATCAGCTGGACCAATTACGCATGAAACCTGTACGAGCAGTCTAGAGTCTCTTTCGGTCCTTCTTCCTGTCTAGCCCAACCTGTTAAGTCCAGAACACCAATCTAAACCTCTGCGTTATGAATCATTTATTTTAAACATACTGGGTTTATATGCAAACCAAACAGACCATGTCATAGCATAAAATAGCAAACAACATTTCTACAAGATTTAGTCGAATGTAGCTGTGAATGTGATTAATAGACTGGGCCTAACTCATGAACGGTAAATCGTATAGTCATAATTCATAAATCAAAGTAAAGCTCATAAGAAGAGAAACACGAATACAAATAGTATAGTTACTTAGTAATTATACAATAAAAATATATGTCAGTATAGAGGTTGTTGAGATTGTCAAGTTTTGATTGAGATCATGAACCGATTGATGTCAGACCACCATCGAAAATTTGGGAGCACTGGACGGCCGTTTCGTCCTATTGTGGGACTCCTCAGCAGTGCGCATCCACGATCCTGCTCGCGGGATCCAAACCCAGGGCCCTCAGTCTCGCGCACGAACGCTTAACCTACTGGACCACTGAGCCGCGTTTACGACATTTCGCTGTACAAGTTACAAAAGAGCTCAACCAGAGACCTCGTAGTTTTTGTAACAGTATGCACCGAAAACAATATACATTAATCAAATGTTGATTTCTGAACTGCTCACATCTAACTGACGACCGCTCAATATTTTATCGTCAGGTTCAATCAATCAATAAGTAACGGAATCGTGTTGAGAATTCTATATTGTACCAAAAGGTTATAATATTGATTAAAGCTAGATCCCTGTACACATTATGTTATCATTATTCCCTTTCAACTAATTGAATACCTTATCTATCATTTATAAATGATTTATTATTATTATTATTATTAGATTAGAATTTGATTATTTATATAAGTAGTATGTGTTTTTAAAGTTTATGATTTGAATATATAGAACATTTAAACTGATTTGTTAACATATGTCACTGAAAACAATTTGGATTTGAACCAGATGCTTCTTTATTTTTATTAAGTAATCAACTTTGTAATTTACTATGTCATTTAACATCTTCTTAAATAAATATCAAATTCAAGATGTGTTTCTTGAAGTTCTAGTGAGTAGATGTGACCAGTAGAGTTCAACCTGGTTTGTTGTAATGGAATGATTTATTGAAGACAATGGTGGTTAGTTATGTAATATCGTAGATTAGTTGAAGTTAGACATTAATATGATTGTATGGTGGTTCAGTGGTTTAGAGGTTAAGTTTTCATGCAGGAGACCAAAGCTTCTGTGTTCGAATCTGAAGTGCGAAGTCGCAGATGCTCACTGTTTAGAAAATCCATACTAGAACAAAACGATCATCTAGTGATTCTAGGTTTGTTAGAGTGGTCTAGCTTTAATCAGTTCATGAATTTAACCACTAAATTACTACAGTTTCCAGAATTCATCATTCTCACAGTATATGTTAAGTAGTATATACTTGTCAATGTAAAAAATAGTTTATGAAAAAAGTATAACATTTGGTTGAAATTAGATGTTACTACAGATGGATAGCGGCTCAGTGGTCTAGAGATTAAGTGTTCATGCACTAAGCCAAAGGTTTTAGGTTCAATTCCAGTATATGGGATCATGGATGTGCAATGCCAAGAAGTCCTATACTACGAAACGGCCATCCAATGTTTCCAGGTTTTCAATAATGTTCTAGGATAAATCGACTCATAATTTCAATTATTGAAATTGATATCTTAAAATAAAGTGAAACATAACTATAGATACCAGGGTTGAATTTGATAGTTTCAAAGAAATTAAGTATTGTGTTGTAAATGAATAAACAAAAATCTATATTTTGTTATATCCCAATGAGTAGAACAGTTGTCTTACAAACGTTTCGTCCCTTAATATAAGCTACTTCTTCAGAATAAAGAAATAATAAATAATATATATTTATTACCAATTGTAGAAATATTCTATTTGTTAAGATAATTTACATTGTTGTATCGAGTGTTGTTTCATTAGGACACAGTAACTGAAGAAACACAAATTTGATTTAGCGGATGAAAAACGAAATTTAACAAATAGAAATTCGGAGAATTCTTCAATAGAATAAGATTGATGTACTCTTCTATTGTATGCTACTGATATCGATACATATAAGTAGTACGTATCATTAATAGAAAGTCAAATGTCTGGTTGTAGAAGGTTAAGAAGTTTGAAGAAAATAGAACGAGAACAGAGAATGATTGACGTGGAAATGAAGGAAGATTGAAGTCTGAGGTGATTGATTGACATTTTCCAAATGAAGTGCTTACTATGTGGTTCTCAGATTTTATTAAGATGTTCTGTAATATTGTATTCAAACACATTCGATTGTCCACATTTGTGTTCTCCTTCACTATCAATATAAAAGGTGTTAGAATAAACAGTGTTTTGTATGTAATTTGCCAGTAAAAATCAAAATACAGAAATGGCGTTTAAAACAAGCAATACTGAATTCGAGTCCCAGAGTGAACATTAACTCTGAAATGTAGGTACATTCAACTATAGAGTCACAAGTAGGACTAAACGCGCATCCTGGATTTCACTGCTAACCGCTACCCATCTTTCCTTCGAATAACTTAAGGTAATATCGTGGCAGTTCGCACAGTATGCACATATGCCAATAAGAAACTTTTCTATTGCAATCTAAAACATCAATGGGAAGATTCAGGTAAAACAATCCCAAGTGAATTTAAACTTCACCCCATTATACAAGCAAGTGGCTATCTAGATTAGATAGCCAATGGATAATGCGATTGAGTTTGAGTCAAAAGTTAATGCCTTCAAATAAATAAATACTTAGTAGATAATTGGATAACGCGATGACATTTGAAGTGAAAGGTAGTGGGTTCGAGTCCCGG